TTTTTTAACTGAATGATGAGGTACCTTCACTAAGAGCATTTCACTGCTGAGAGAAGCAGGAGGGAAATTGGTGCAGAAACACTTGCTGTAGGATATTTTTGGTATTGTTATTTAAAGGAGATAGAAGTGCTTGTCAGTCAGAATGGTGTAGAAGGATCTGGAAGCGAGGATGAATAAGGGTGTTTAATTAGTGATGGGAAAGAAAACATCGGTTCCGATGCTCAGTTAGGTGTGCCTGCCTTGTTTGCCTCCTTTGACCAATAGCTGACCCTCCTGCTTTCTTCCCTGCAATTATACTTCCCTACTAACAGCTTACCTCTACAACTTACTGAGAAACTTCTTTTTTATGAGGTACTCAGAAAATATTTGTACAGTACCCAATTATATATATCTGTGGGGACATTCCAAATTGTGTTAAATCATGCTTCAATACTCTATGTATTCTGTTGCATGTTACAATGTGTAATACTTCAATAAACAAAATTGAGTTTTGGGTCCAAAAAGGGTCCAAAATATGAGAAGACTGATGTATTGCTACAATCATAAAAGACTAAATGGGCAAAAAAAGGAGCAGAGACCAGAAATTCTGTGGACATTTGTCAAGCCATATTGCTTTGTATCTAGAACCATGTAGACAGCTTTGAAGCATAGTAATTACAATCTTCATATAATTAACCCCCGAACAACTTGTCCCATGGATATGTGAACAAATGACAGATTATCACTAGTAAATGTTATGAAAAAATTAAATACAGTAACTTTTTATATTGAAAAATAGACGATCATCTCGTAAACAGTAAAATCAGTGACCAGCATGGACAGGCATGTAAAGCTTAGTTAGATTCAATGAAAAAATACAAATTTGAGGAACTTTCTGTATTATTTTAATAGCTTTGAATAATGAAATTAGTGTTCAGTCTTCAACTGAGACATTAACTCAGCCTTTAGGAAAAAGAATCACATATGTTTAATTGCCAGGAGACATTAAGAATTTATATATAAGTATATACATACGCGTATGTATTTATTTTTTTAGGAAAAGGAGGATGAAAAATCAGACACATCAAGCTCTCAGCAACAGAAAAGTCCACAAGGTCTGAGTGACACCGGGTATTCTTCTGATGGGATATCAAGTTCACTTGGTGAAATTCCAAGTCTTATCCCCACTGATGAAAAGGATTTACTCAGAGAAACTAATAAAAAAGACACTATTTCGCAAGAAAGTCCACCAAGCCCCTCAGATCTAGCTAAACTAGAAAGTACTGTACTGTCAATTTTGGAAGCTCAGGCAAGTACTCTTTCTGATGAAAAATCTGCAAAAAGCAAAGATCTTTCTGAGACATATGGTGAACAGACAACAGATCAACATAAAGCAAAGCCTTTGCCAGTCACTCCAGAATCTTACAGTTCAGAGGAGGAAGACTTAGAAGCTATTAAAGAAGGTGAAGGAACCATCGTAGAAGAGGGCAAAGGAAGTGCTTCCTCCCAGGCAGACTACAAGGAAGCACATGAAGGAGACGACGTATCAGCAAGAAGACAACGCTATGATTCAGTGGAAGACAGCAGTGAGAGTGAAAACTCACCTGTCCCAAGAAGAAAAAGAAGAACTAGTGTTGGTTCTTCAAGCAGTGATGAGTACAAACGAGATGACAGCCAGGGATCAGGTGATGAGGAAGACTTCATTAGAAAACAGATTATGGAGATGAGTGCTGATGAAGACGCTTCAGGTTCTGAAGATGATGAGTTCATTAGAAATCAACTCAAAGAGATCAGTGCAACTGAAAGCCAAAAGAAAGAAGAAGTGAAAAGCAAAGCCAAAGGAACAGCTGGGAAACATAGAAGAATGGCACGGAAAAGTAGTGCAGGCTATGATGAGGATGCAGGAAGAAGACATTCGTGGCACGATGACGATGATGAGACTTTTGATGAAAGCCCAGAGCCAAAATACAGGGAAAGTAAAAGTCAAGACAGTGAAGAACTTGCAATAACTGGAGGAGGAGGCCTTCGACGTTTCAAAACAATAGAATTAAATAGTACAGTAGCAAACAAATATTCTGAAGTAACTGAACAACAGAAAAGTATTTTATATTTTGATGAAGAACCTGAGCTAGAGATGGAGAGTCTTACAGATTCACCAGAAGATAGATCTAGAGGAGAAGGATCTTCTAGTTTACATGCTTCTAGTTTCACACCAGGTACATCTCCTACTTCAGTGTCATCACTTGATGAAGATAGTGACAGCAGTCCTAGTCACAAAAAACTGGGAGGTGAGAGCAAACAACAGCGCAAAGCCAGACATCGAACACATGGTCCTCTTCTTCCAACTATTGAAGACTCTTCAGAAGAAGAAGAACTACGGGAAGAGGAAGAACTTTTAAAGGAACAAGAGAAACAGCGTGAATTAGAACAGCAGCAAAGAAAAAGTTCTAGCAAAAAATCTAAAAAGGACAAGGATGAACTAAGAGCCCAGAGAAGAAGGGAACGTCCAAAGACTCCACCAAGTAATCTTTCTCCCATTGAAGATGCATCTCCAACAGAAGAATTACGCCAGGCAGCAGAAATGGAAGAGCTGCACAGATCTTCCTGTTCTGAATATTCACCCAGTATTGAGTCAGATCCTGAAGGATTTGAAATCAGCCCAGAAAAAATAATAGAAGTACAAAAAGTTTACAAATTGCCTACTGCTGTCTCTCTATACTCACCAACAGATGAACAACCAGTTGGACTCCCAAAAGAAGAAGGTGGTCAAAAGACATTGAAAAGTGCTGAAGAGGTATATGAGGAGATGATGCATAAGTCCAAATCATTTCAAATTGCAAATGAAAAAGATGAAATATTTGAAAAAGAATCTTTATATGGTGGAATGCTTATAGAGGATTATATTTATGAATCTTTAGTAGAGGATACTTACAATGGAAGTATTGATACTAATCTTGTCATCAGACAAGATGAGAGCAGTGAATATATGCAACAGAGAGGAAAAGAGAAAAAACCAAGAGCTTCAGAACAGGTCTATGATGAACCACAGAAAGTTACTGATCTAGAGAAAGACTACTATAATGTTGAGACTTTACATACTATTGTGCCTCAAGAAGATATTGTTTCTAGTTCTTACATTATTCCAGAAAGTCATGAAATAGTTGTATTAGACAGCACAGTAACTTCTACCGCCGAGGAAAAGCACTTGTTAGATGCAGAAGCTGCTTATGAAGAGCTTATGAAAAGACAGAAAATGCAGCTAACCCCTGGCTCCAGTCCAACACAACCAACTTCAGATTTCATTCCCACATCTGATACAAAGGTATCTGGTGTTGGAGAGATAGTGGATAGTACATCTTTAACATCAAGCACTACTTCAGCAATCTCAGATATATCACCTGTCAGTAGCACAACACTTTCTATTCCAGATGTTAAAATAACACAGCATTTTACAGCAGAGGAAATTGAAGATGAATACTTAACAGATTATGCCAGAGAAATCCAAGAAATAATTTCTCATGAAACATCAATATTGACATATTCTGAGACATCTGAAGTTGCTGCATCAGTTTTACCTTCTGATACAGCTTCCTTAACATCATCTACATCTTCGGTTTGTACCACAGATAGTTCATCACCTATAGATAGTGCAACCACAGGTTTTATAGGTACAGCAGATGCTGTAAGTAAACCAGCAGATGCTGAAGGTATCAGTACAATAACCCAGGTTCCCCTAACATCTGCAAAAGAGTACTCTGAAGTGAGCATGCCTTATGAATCTATTGATGGAGCCACTAAAAAGCCTTCCATAGCATCAGATAAGGAGAGTGTGGATCAAGCTGCAGTTTGTTTGCCTGAAACTACACCTTCAGTAGTGACAACTACAGTTACAAAACCCAAGGAATATGTGGCTGATACTGTTTCCTTTGATACCTCCAAAGCAGAGAAGGAAGCAGCTAGAAAAATGAAAAGTACAATAGAGGCTGGCAGTGTCAAAATTCATCATGAAGAGCCACACAAAGAATTAGGTGTTGATATAGCAAGGATTGATTTGACTAGTGTTACATCTGAGCAACCACCTATATGTATAGCATCATTACCAATTACAGAGCCTGCATCAGAAACATCTTCTGTACCCACTCCCAGTGTTGTAAGTAAGACCAGCATGGTCTCTGTGCCTTCCTCAGCTCCTGCTGTTTCAGCCAAAGTATTCTCTCTTTTTAGAAGCTCTTCTTTGGATTCTCCTGCACAACCTTCTCCACCCCCACCTCCTCCTCCTCCACCACCACCACCACCTCCACCACCATTACCACCTCCACCTATTTTACCCAAGCCAGCCATTTATCCCAAAAAGAAGTCACAGATTAAGACTATGGCACCAACAGTTCCCACAGTGGTCCCTTCAGTCACAACTGTTCCAGCACTAGAGTCCACAGCTGTATTAAAGAATCATGTGGTACCTATCACAAAAACATACACTCCAACACCACCTCCTGTACCACCTAAACCATCTTCCATCCCAGCAGGACTTGTTTTCAGTCACAGGCCCACTGAAGTAACTAAACCTCCAATTGCTCCTAAACCAGCAGTACCTCCACTCCCGATAGCTGTTCATAAGCCAGCAGAAACACAGCCCAAACCAGTAAGTTTGTCATTGACTTCAAGTATGACTCTGAATTTGGTCTCCACAGCTGAGTACAAAATACCATCACCCACTTCCCCTTTGTCTCCACACTCTAACAAATCTTCACCAAGGTTGGCAAAACCCTCACAGGAAACATATGTTGTCATCACATTACCATCAGAGCCTGGAACTCCCACAGAAGCTATAACTAGTCAGGCTGTTACCAGCTGGCCTTTAGAAGCACCTCCTAAAGAACAGATTCCCCAGCCTATGCAACCAGTTTTTACTTCACCCATGAAAACTATGGAAATTCAAAGTACTGTAGGTCAGAGTATGTATATTTCAGGTGCTTTGCAAGCTATTCCTGTGACAACACAATCGGCTTTTGAAAAAATACCTAGTTCAAAACCAGAAGTAGTAACCACAGAGGTAACCAAGACCACAGTGTCTGTGGTTAAGGGTCCAGTGCCTGGTTATGGTTTTGGTAGTGTTGCTATTACTATACCTCCAGAGCCACTACATATAGTAGATCAACCCAGATATAGAGAGAACGGAAGATTCCATCCTTTGGGTGATGTCATAGATCTTCGCACTTTAACTAAGATGGACGTTGAAATGAGAGACAGCTGTATGGATCTGTCTGCTGTTTCCATGGACGTGAGAAGGCAAATGCCAGTGAGTGACACAGGTGGGCGCCCAGTAAGTACTGTCCAGCCATCCATAGTAAACCTAAGCACTGCGTGTGTTGCTGATCCTTCCCTGTCTGTAGTCACTGGGACAGTAACAGTAGTGACCTGCACTGCCACTGTGAGCTACACCACCAGTACAGACAGCCTTGTGGATCTGGGACATGCAATGACAATACCACTCCAGCTGACAACATCAAAACATTTTGAGCCTCCATGCAGAGTAACAAGCAGCCAGGTTTTCTCTGCAGGTAGAGATGAAGTGCCAATAAATTTATCCCTAGGTACTTCAACACAGGCAATGACGTGGGCTACTACAAAACCTGTTACTGTACCACCTGTTGGCGTTACAAATGGTTGGACTGATCTCTCCACTTCTCAGGAGCCAGCAGACAGTGGAGCAGTTGACCTTAGCACTACAAAATCCCACAGAACAGTAGTAACAATGGATGACACTACTTCAGGTATCATAACAACAGTAATAGAAGATGATGAAAAGCCTGTAGATCTGACTGCAGGGAGAAGAGCTGTCTGCTGTGATATGGTTTATAAATTACCATTTAGGAGCTGTGCAGCACAGCAGCCACCTACTACACTTCCTGAAGATCGCTTTGGCTACAGAGATGACCATTATCAGTATGATCGTTCAGGGTCATATGGCTACCGAGGAATGGGAGGTATGAAACCATCTATGTCTGACACAAATTTATCAGAAGCTGGACTGTTTGCATATAAAAGCAAGAATAGCTTTGATTATCGAGTTGGGGCAACTGATACAGCAGTAGATCTTACTTCTGGAAGAGTAACTACAGGTCAGTATGACACAGCAGCAGATCTTTCTTTGAAATATAATTTTGATGTTCCTCACCTCATTTCAGGATAATTTTTTTATTGTTTTTCCCCTCCTTCTGTTGTTTTGTTTTCTTTTGGACAGTGTGACAAATTATGCTGGATTACACGTGTTTTTCATTTCTTCATTTTACATATGTGTTTGCACAGAGGTGCCTGCATGTACCTGCATGTTGAGAAATGCTGTTTCCTTCACATCTAAAGTAGATCATTAACCTGAAGATTTGCATGCAGTTTCCCCTTCCCATTTATTTCATCAAGATGGAATGACTTTCAGAATCCGCAAAGCAGCATTCTTTTGTGGGACTGGACTGTAACTTTGCCCTGTAATTTCAGGTGAGGTTATGGATTACTCAAGCAAGACTACTGGTCCATATGCAGAGACTCGGCAGGTGATTTCTGGCCTCGGGCTCAGTGCACCACAGTATTCCCAAGCAAGAATGGTATCATCTCTGGGTTCCCAGTTTGGCGTTGGAAGTGTTTTAAGATCATCCAATGGTGTTGTTTATTCTTCTGTAGCTACTCCAATCCCATCAACATTTGCCATCACTACACAACCTGGTTCTATTTTCAGTACAACTGTCAGAGATTTACCTACTCTCCAAACAATTGACTCGGTGCCCTCTTTATCAACTTTGCAACAGAGTCAACCTCTCCCAAGATCATACAGTTTCTTAACAACTGTGGCAGCTGAAAAAGATAGTGCAATTACTGCCATTGATATGGAGACAAGGTTACCACCTCATACTGTAGAAACTATTACCACTGAACCAACCAGCTTGATACCAACTTTAACTACAGCATCTGAAGTTTATACAGATGTAATTGATGATGAGGTTGCCCTTCTCATTGCCCCTGAAGAAGGCAAACAGCAGCAGCTTGATTTGGAGCGGGAACTTCTTGAGCTTGAGAAAATTAAGCAGCAACGCTTTGCAGAAGAGCTGGAATGGGAACGTCAGGAAATTCAAAGATTTAGGGAACAAGAAAAGTTTATGGTGCAAAAAAAGCTTGAGGAGTTGCAATCTATGAAACATCATCTCTTATTTCAGCAGGAGGAGGAACGACAAGCTCAGTTTATGATGAGACAAGAGACATTAGCCCAGCAGCAGTTGCAGCTTGAACAATTCCAACAACTTCAACAGCAGCTCCACCAACAATTAGAGGAGCAAAAACTTCGTCAAATATATCAGTATGGTTACGACCCTTCAGGAACTGGCTCACCACAAACTACCACAGATCAAACTCTTTTGGAAGGACAGTATGCCACTGCAGAAAATGGTCAGTTTTGGCCTACTGATGATGCAACCACTACAGCTTCAGGAGTGCTGGGTATTGAAATTCCACAAAGCCAAGCATGGTACACAGTTCAGTCTGATGGTATTACCCAATACATACCTAGGTCTGGTATCCTAAGCTCAGTTTCAGAAATGTCTCTTAAGGATATTGATGTTAGAGAGGAGAAGCAATTGAAAAAGAGAAGTTCTATGCCAAAATTACGTGGTCCATATGAGGAGTTTGAGCAGACCCTGGAAGAAGAGCCCCGGTGCTTCAAAAAGATAGTGGACAGTGGAGTGCAAACTGATGATGAAGATGGAGCAGACAGAGGCTACACAAACAGGAGACGGAGAAGTAAGAAGAGTGTTGATACAAGTGTTCAGACAGATGATGAAGATCAAGATGAATGGGATCTTTCTAGCAAATCCAGAAGGAAGCCTCGGATAGGGAAATACAGTGAGAGTACCACTGAGGCAGACAAAGCTAAACCATTCTCCAAAGTCTCTAGTATTGCAGTTCAGACAGTGGCAGAGATTTCTGTACAAACAGAACCTGTAGGAACAATAAGAACACCTTCAATCAGGGCCCGATTGGACGCTAAGGTTGAAATCATAAAGCACATTTCAGCTCCAGAAAAGACATATAAAGGAGAAAGTCTGGGATGTCAAACAGAGACAGATTCAGATACTCAAAGTCCCCAATATCTGTCAGCTTCATCTCCTCAGAAAGATAAAAAACGTCCAACACCATTAGAGATAGGATACTCATCCCACCTTCGTCCAGACTCCACGTTGCAGGTAGTCCCTTCCCCTCCCAAATCTCCCAAAGTTCTCTATTCACCCATTTCACCTGTTTCACCAAGCAAAGTTATAGAGTCAGCATTTGTACCCTATGAAAAACCCATCACTGATGACATCAGCCCTCAGAAGATGCTGCATGCTGACATTGCCAAGGTTCCTCCAAGCCCAAAGGCAGCAAAGATGATGCAACGCTCTATGTCTGATCCTAAGCCCCTGAGTCCCACAGCAGAAGACAGTTCCAGAGCTCAGTTTCAGTACACTGAGGGTTTTATGGTAAGAAGTATTTGCTTGCCTTTTTTTTTTTTTTTTTTTTTTTTTATAATATGAAATTCTACAGCTATCAGTACAGCATGAGGGCTGACACACTCATTTCCAATACCTGTGTATGTAGGCTTTTTGCACACCCTGCTGAGAAGTCCAGAGGAACGTCTGCTGTCTAAAGCAATGGTTATTTCCTTCATTGCTCTTCCTGGAAATAGGGAAATCCATATTACATATTGAACACAACAAGTTCATGTTCAGAATTTGGAAGGCACTTTGTGTTTTACATGGCAATTCATTGGGCAATATAGGGGTTACATGGCAATAAGGGGTTACTGCCAATTGTTTAGAAAATTAAAGCATTTCCTTTCTAATTATGTGACTTCCAGCTCTTGTGGCACAGTCTGTAATGCATTTACCCTGAAATTACTACATGTGCCTTCTGAAAGGCAGATAACACCAGATTTATAATTGCCTTAGTTAGCTGCCCTTTTTGACCCTCATGAGGTTTCTTGGCCATTTGTGATTCTTTGGATAATCTTGTGTCCCAATGTGTACATCTTTTATCTTTCCCAGACCAAAAGGTCTCATATCTCAAATCCGTTATTAATTTGTTTGTTTTGGATAAGGAGGATTATCAAGCAGTTATACAAGTTTTGAGGGCTGTTTCATGTAGGGGTCAAAGAAGACTGACATAATTTGGTTCAAAATTTTTCATTTCTGCGGTATTTCTTTTCCTTGAGAAGTAAGACTTAATATTTGGGAACCAGATCATTATTTATGAATAAGAGGAATAAGTCTTGGCTAAAAAATACCTCTGTAATTTGATATGTCCTTACCTGTCCTTTTGTCCAAGACCATTCCCTTCTGTCAGTTGTAGGGTCAGTATTTTACTTGTCAGAACTCTGGAAGAGTTGTCACTCAAGTTCTTCAGTAATATTTATCTTTTATGTTCGGTTATCTGTGAATACAGGAGTTATTAATGTAGTCTGGATAGGATAAAGAGTGCTTGATAATTTGTGGTGGCTTTCAAATGCAGAATTTGCTGGTTATACCCTCCAAGGCTCCCACTGTACACAGTTTCTGCAGCTTCAAGTATTTGTACAGATATTAAGTACTTCCCACACTGTTACTACTTGGAAAAGAGTACTTGGAATTTTGAAGGGAAAACTGTAGTCGTGGCATTGGCACTCCATATAAACATCATTCCCTAATGCAGGATAAGCACAGAGGGGGAAAGTCACATGAGGATTAAAGTTTCATGTAGGGATTTGGAACAGCATCTTGAAGAACATTGCTCAGAGACTTTGAGAAAGTGTTTGGTTCTACTCAGCATTGGAGAGTATGTATAATATTGTAAAATAACCATCAGTATAGTGAAACTATTTCTGAGAACAAGTTATTCACTTCACTGATTTCATAGATACATATATATATATATATATACTTGTTATGAATTGAATGCTTTGTAGGATGGATGATACATTCTGTAAGTAACTGATTGTTTAAAGGCCTTTACAGTAGAGTTTGAACACATATGGTATTCACTTATGAGACATGGAAGCAAAGGGAATGTGCACCACTGTTTCTTTTTTTAGCCACATGCTCTTTACTGTCTTGCCTTGGGCCCTAACAGC